ATATATATATATTTTAAAAATGCTTCAAAAACTAAATAAAGCGCATGTTGCTGGAGCAGAACGTTCCCAGACCTTTGTCTATGAGTGGAACAGAGCTTTCCTCAGGTTCTCCGTTGGTTTTGGGATTGTTGTTGGAAGGATTTAGGTTGATCATGAAGTCCGTCTTCTTCCAGCCATCCTTCTCTAAAGTCCGACGGAGCTCTTTGTAGCCCCACACCTTCTGCAGAATCAGGCCGGCTCCACGCACTTCCCGGTCAGAGCGTCTACTAGTTTTCCCCAAAGAAAGAGACAAACGTAAATAGTTGAACATAGGAAAGCAGCAAACAGTGAAAGCTGTTATCAAGTTATCCGATCAGTTAATCTGGATTACCCGTCCTTATTGATGAGCACCAGTCTCTCGATTCCTTGACATTCGCTGAGGTTTTTGGCTGCTTCAACACTAGAGCCCAGCACCTCGTAGAGCGTGCTCAAGACGGACACTACGGTCTCCTCCGACACCGCTTTTAACGGTTGACTCTGAGCGCCACTAGGCAGGTTCGCTACAAGCGAAGGTATTGCTTTTTGACCTGACAAAACCCAGACGGGAGAGTAAAACACACTGAAGTACTAACACAAGTCTCGATACATCCATCGTAATGATTTCTGAAACTTCACGGTTAACTTTTTTTTTTTTTTTTTTGAAGGCTTACCTAGTAGATCCCTGTTAGAAGGATCTATGGCGAGGTTGCGAAGGGCTCCAGACATGGCTCGGATTACTCGGTCGTTGTTGTGGCTCAGCAGCTCGGCGACTACAGCTAGACCCTTGTCCTTACGCATCATGGTACGAATGTAGCGCCCGTACTAAACATATATGCAAATACAGTATTTTTATTATTTAAGCAGTTAATCTACAAGACATACAATTTCACAGTAATTTTACTTATGGACTACTAAAGATCTTGATGGCAAACGTCAACAGAAACTTGTTTTTCCTACACACTTTTCAAAACATCTCAAAACCAACGGACGAAGTTTAATTAAACTCTCAGACAGCAGTTTCCCCTACCACTATACAAGCAGCCACCCCCCTGCCCAGCTGACAAGTGAATGTAGCGCTAAGCTAAAACGTTAGGACTATGGATATGGAGGTGGGGCTCCATCCCACCTCCCCACCCCATCTAATAATAAGAACAAGAACAAAAAGAATGATTAATGAACCTTGCAATCAATTTTTAAGAGACTGACCCCTGATGTTTTAAAAGGTGGCATCTTTATCCCACTGACAAACATTTCCCTCTCCAGTAAAAATACTCAAACATTTTAACCAGTTATGTGTTGGGAATAGATAAAGAACCACTAGGAGTTCTGTTTGTGTTATTCTGAAACATCTGTGTAAACCAGTGCGTCTCAATTATTTTCTGTTGCGCTCGCCGCCACGACTGTAAATAGTATAATTTGTCTATAAAATTGTTATAAGTGCACCTCTGCATAACATTGAGTCCTTATTAACATTAAAGGTGAAAAAAGAACAGATCAACTTACGACAAAGATTAACTTTATAAACATTGTTTTTAATCTGCAACAGAAACAACTTAAAGTGCATCAATTTGCCTGAAAAAAAAAAAAACTTAAATCCTTATTTAAACTAAACATTTTTGACCATTTGATACTGAAAAATAAAATTAAATATAATCAATAAATAATAATAATTTCAAATTGATCAGCAAGATTTTAATTCAGGAGTGTTATATAAAATACTATGACCTAAAAAAACAACAACTAATGAATAAATCAAAATGAGGAAGTCGGGATCAATGAGCGCACATCGATAAAACTAAAAAATGTTGTCAACGCGAAAGAAGAAAGAGGCAGGTAACCCTCTCGCTTTGAGTTTACTCTTTGTTGCATGCGTGCTGTGAGTGACGTCAAGAGCGCACGGACATAAAAACACATGCAGCGGAGGTGTCGGAGTTCATGTCTCAGCCGCAGAGGGGAGCGACACGGTTCATGCGTGGCTCCCAAAACGACAAGACAGTCATTTGTTCATAACTTTATTATTAGTAAGTCTGAGAGATACAAACAAACAGCTGCTGGAACGCACGTGACAAAATGAGAACGGTGAAAAAAAAACTCCCTGCGGCAAAAAAAGCATGTTCCCCGGGTCACGTGCACCCCCCGGGGGGGGGGGCACGCCCCTCTATTTGATAAGGGCTGGTGTAAACTATTTTTGAGATTTCCTAGCCAGAATGCTGGCGTCATGAAATAAAACAGGATGAAGACAGACAGCAGTTCTTACAGTCCAGTGTCCAGCACACAGGTTCTGAATAGCTCCAGCTGAAGCTTCCAGCACGGTGGGGTTCTTGGACTCCATCAGAAGAGATTTGTAGATGTGGACCACCTCAGGCTGGAAAAGCAGCTCATAGCCTGCAGGAGAGGAGAGGGTTGGATGAGTAAATGTAATCTTTTGCGTGCGACAAAGAAAAGTGGCATTAACGGGGCCGATGCTCACCTTTAGCAGGTGATGTCCTCTTTGGAATATCGATCGGTTCGTTAGCTGCACCCTCATTTCTTGGTCCTAGAAGCAAACCTCAACATTAAAGTCACAGAAATGCACGGTTTAAATAAGAGACACCTTCACTGTTACGACATCTGCACTAGTTTGGTTAGACGTGCACACTCACAAAAATACATGAACGAAAAAAAGTGTTGAAATGCAATTTCTACACCGATTATTAAAACAGTCATTCACAGAGAAAAGAAAGGTGCATGTTAGAGTTACTACCCCACGCAACCGATGTTATATCAGCCTACGGACTACTGCTTCCACTGAGACGAGAGCAGGCAGCTAAAGCACAGCGTCGTTACACAGAGCTAAAGGAAGCTTACCTTTGGAAAACCACTCATCTGCAGCCGAGCCGAACAGTGGAGAGAAAAATGAAAGAGAGAAGAAGACAAAAAGATGGGTTGAGGAGAGGAAAGAAAGTCGCAGAACAGGAGGCGAGACGAGCGTTTAAGGAAAGCAGCCATAACTGAGCCACACAGAGAACGTCTGCTTGGATCCCAACGACACCGCGGCCACCAAACAGAACCAGCAGATATACCAGATACAAAAAGATCAAAGGATCGAACAGCAGCTCATTTTATTTCACGTCATCCTTTAATACCCTGACAAATTATTAACACAATTAGAAAGGGGAACATAAAAAACTGCATCTCCATTGTCACTACAAACTCAAAAAACTCTGGAAAAACATAACCTTGTTCATTTTTAGGACTCCGCAGTTTTGAAAATATCGCAAACACAAATTTGTGAATAGTGTAAATCGTCCCGCCTACACCAAATCCCATTTCAGACGTTGCAGCTTTAAATCAAGAAGTCAAAGCTCCTTTAGAATAGAACAGAATCGTCAGGTATACAATGAGACTGCAGCGCTTCACCACAAAGGAGAAAAGCTCCAAAACGTTGATAACTCCTGGTTTTTACTTGATCAAATGTTTAATTTGTTACCAAGAGAATGCAACGTTTGGATTGTTTCCCCACTCAGAAATCAAAAAGTTTTGTTTTGTCTTGAAATATGAACAGACGTTCACATAATAAAAACTACCACAGCCTAAAAATCTTCATAAATATTCTTTATACGAATTTAAAAAAGAAAGAATTGAGCTGCAATGAAACTCTTGAGCAGCTCCAAAGACAGTCGGTATCAGAGGACTTTGGTACTGTACATCAAATCACAGGAACTGTATTAGGATTCTGTGACGTGGTTTTAACTCGTCTTCTTAAAATAATATGTTGAGAAATATTCAGTGAAGTGGGCTGTTCCACTTTTGTTATACTGTTGCGTTAATGATTCATTACAGCACACGTATATCTAGTCTAGGGTCAAAACGATTCACAGTACCTCATCTCAAACAACACAAATAAAACAGAAATCTGAATTGGGATGATGGATCCTCACTATCCTTCCAGTTTTTAATAATTCGTTGGACAATTCTTAACCCAAATGTAGTAGTTTCTGCAACCTCCTTAGTAGGGGTGTAACAACACATCGATTTAAATCGATATATCGATTAACTGATTCGATTATATCGTGGCAAAACTAAAACATCGACTCATATCGTCATCTTTAAAATACACTTTTATTTTGAAATTTCCAAAGCACGTCTGTGTCACCATGTCCGTGCGCGGCTGTGCTCTGCGGCCGCCTCAGCAACACGACAGACGAGGCGGAAAACAATGAAATTCACTCTCCTGCTGGATTTAAATCAACTCTGTGGAAATATTTTGGATTCCAGCAGACGGACGGCTCAACAGACAAAACTCATGTCGTGTGCAACAACAGGTGCCAGCGTGAGTTAAAATACTCGGGAAACAACAAATTTGGTCGTTCACCTGAAGAAGAAACACGGCATTGATAGACATGTTATGTAAGTTTAATATCTATTTTTGTTTCTTTATAACTGAAAGGTAATCAGGGCACTTTTAAGTTAACTGGTTTAAAAAATGCACTTAAACATGAGAAATGAGAGACTGTAACAGGTCATTTATTTTTATTTTTTCATTAATTAAGAAAAAATATATATTTAAATGCCTGGTGCCAGTAACAGAAATAAAATGGTTAAATCTTATTTTAATTGTTTTTGTAAATGTATTTATATGTAAATGAGATGGGCACTTGATATCGCAATATATCGATCGCAGACTTGTGAATCAAATGGAATCGAAATCGTATCATGACAGACTTTGTGATATTGAGAAAAATCGTATCGTCATACAAACAATTCAATATAATATCGTAGTAAAGCTGGTGATTTACACCCCTACTCCTTAGATGTTTTCTCTGCTAGATGCATGCCAATGATTTGACCCTTCTCAAACAGACCGACATCTTTTCCACGACCACGCGATGTGTCTTTCCACTAGGAATGTGCGATATGGCAAAAAATTCATATCACGATATGTATTGTGAAGGGTGGCGATAACGATATATATCACGATATGTTTTTGGTATAAAACTTGCAATAAGAATGAAAAAAAGCATAGGGGGTGTCCTTTTGCCATCATTTATTTTGAATTAAGAAAATTCCACTACTAGGTCCAGAGTTTTTAAATAATAAACCAAGTATTAGACTTCTTTCTTGTAGTGCAAAATATATCAAATGTAGTTTTAGCCATATGTTTTAAACTAAAGAATATGTTGTTAACTTTTAACAGTTTCCAGTCTTCTCACTTAAGAAATGAACAGCAAATGAAACACTTCACCCTCCAACCCTCTAGTGGGCGCCTCCTTCCACTTTAAGGAGAGCTGACACTAAATGAGTCTGTGGCTTTGACCAGAGGGTCTCGCAGTAAAATCACACAACACAGCGTTCTTTTCACAGATCAAGGAGCAGGTTTCTCTAAAGCTGACCAACATTTACTTTAACTTTTGACGGAAAAATAAAAAATAAAAACTTTCGACGGAACGCAGTGTTTTGCGCATGCGTCCGAATACGGCAACACTACGGCAAGCCGGGCGTAGTTAGCTTGTAGCTTCGCTACTTAGCTCTCGAAGAAAAGACTAACACCACTTACGCACAGTTTTCAACTAAAAAAAGTAACTATTAAACTGATGACTCTGATTTTACATCAGACACAACATTACTGCGGTTAGCTGGTAGAAGACAGATCTGTATCGTAGGATAAATGTCTATCATTTCCATACCATATATATCGCACATTCCTACTTTCCACGTGGTTGTTTAAGAAATGAGAAGCAACTCATTGCACCACTTGGGGTTAAATAACTTGTTGCCAGCTGAAAGATAATCGCCCATGATGTAATTATCCAACTTATTTGCTTAGTTAAATCCAGGTGGCAACTCTTTTTTTTGGCCAGGCAGTAAAATGGAATGACAAGTTGTTGGATTTATACATTTTCAGTAAAGATGAAGTATCCTAACTACGATGAGGAGCTCGCCTGCCTCCATGCTGTCAGCGTCAAAGAAATATTTACAGGAAAACTAACAAAAAGTTTTGTTTGTCAAAGGACACGCTGCTGCTGCGCTCAGGGCAAACAGTTTCAGATTATTTGACCAATCTTTATGTCCTTGTAAAAAAACATTAAACAGCAATAGAACGTTGCATTCAAAAACGTACGTAAACTTGTACGATATTATCCGTTTTTGAAAAATGATTCTAGAGCGTGATCACTTTACGAAACTGCAGTGAACAAAGCCAAATCAATACTCTGAGTGAAACGTCAACAGCTAAACAGAGAAAAGGCTTTTTCTGAGGAGGGATTGTTAACATTCCTGTGGCAGAGTGGTTTTGTTTGCACAAGTGTGTGTGTGTGTGAGTATCAGTCGAGTGAGAATGTGATGTCAGTGATATCCCTCCAAATGCCCCTGAAACTGACTGTGCATGTCTCTGTCCCGCTCTGTGACACCGACCTTTGCTCTTGCGAGAGCTGAAGCAGCCGCCCTTCTGGCCGGAGGGGGCAGGGCCATGGCTGATGGGCGTGGCATCTTGGTAGCGCTCATGTCCGGGGATTTCACGGTGCAGGTGATAAGACAAGTTCCTCAGCAGACAAACGCAGTTCTCCGTCAGCTGCAGGAGATGGCAAAATGTGCAAAATTGTAAAATTCACTCTTAAAAAAAAAAAATCAACTGAATGCAACAAATGTTAATTATTTTGACTTTCACGTACCTTATTGTCCATATCCTTACAATCAATCTGGGACTGAACGATGTACATGACGGAATCGACCAACCCTGTGCACTCCCTCATCTTCCTCCTGGCTTCACTTCGCTCTGAACTTACATTCCTTTGAAAAAAAAAAAAAAAAATCAAAAAAAAGAAATTGTGTCACAGACTAATAAAGAAATAAGATTTTATAAAGGACAGGCAGCACATAAGATGTCAAGACGTAACAAATATGCCCCCATTCAAGAGGTGTTTGAGGGAAACGGCAGCTAAATGTGAATTTACAAAGAGAGCACAGATTGACCGTATTAAGTTGCGTCTCTGCACCCATGAGTCATTCTTACTGATTCTTACCGAGACCAAACTGAACCGGATGAAAACTCGACACCAAGTTAGCGGAGTAAAGAAACTCAGGCCGCTCAGTGCCAGCCTTTTGTACCCGACTTATTTTTCCCCAGTAAACGGACACACCCTTCTCCACAATACGAGGACAAATTTTCTTCAGCGGCGGGGAGGGGAGGCGTTACAAACTTCTCTTTACTGCATAGTTCGGGAAGTTCATTAACGTGTTACAGCAGGCAAACAAACGAAAGTAGGACTGCAGCGGAGGAGACGACCTCTAAATCTAAAGAAAACAAACTGGAATTTATATATTATTAATCTCTGTGCACGAAAATAAAAATATAGGGTTGAAAGGGAGTATCCAAATAAGCAAGAAAATATTGGTAGATATTTTCTTTTTTAAAACTCATATGAAACAATAAAAGTTAAGAAAATGAACTTAGCAGCCATCTGCTGTTTGTAGACTTCAGCATCCACAAACGGCTTTAGTTCTCAACCATAAACTGAGAGTTACCTACTGAGCTGCACATACTAAACACCAAGGTAACGCTACAATTGTAGCCAAATGCAATTTGGGGCGGCTGGAGCTGAGTGGTTAGAGCAGTCGTCCTCCAATGCAAGGGTTGGGGGTTCGATTCCACCAGCAGCCAAATGCCGAAGCGTCCCTGGACAAGACACTGAACCAGTGGTGTGGACTACATTTTTGTAGTGGGTATACTGTGCTTAGAAACCAAAATACACAGGTTAGTACAATGTAATCGTCAATTTATTTTGACTTCCCCAAAGCAACTCCCTAGGAAGCAAAAGATAACGGATGGATATACGTTCCATAAATACACACATACACATATATTTATTATTAAAAGTTATATTTTGTCCCATTTCCTTTGAACTAAAAACATGAGTTATTTAGGCTTTAAGTGGCTCATGCAAATATGAATGTTTTAAATTAAGGCTTTTTGTTGGTTTGTTTTACAATTTGTGTTTAAAAAAAAAAAATTAATGTAAAAGTAATGTGACCAAGAATCGTCGTTTAATAAGGGTTTTGCTGTTTATTGCTCTCAAAACTTCGAACTGGTGGCTTAAAACTTTACTAATACTTTTGAAACGTCAAAATATAAATATCCGGTCTAAACTTTTATTCTGAAAACCCCCTTGTTCGGGGAGCGGTGGTGCAGAGGTTAGAGAAGGTAGACCTGTGATCGGAAGATCACCGGTTCAAGCCTCGGTACAGACAACATCTAAAATGTGGGTGGAGTAGGTGAAGCACCCACACTTGCCCCCACCCTCATTCACCCCACTCTGGGCCCATGAGCAAGGCCCTTAACTCCCACCATCTGCTCCCTAAACAGGTCTCTCTTGAAAATGAGTTCTTGTGGCTCAATGAGACTAACCTGGATAAATAAAGGCTAAATGAAAATGAACAAAAACTCCCGCTAGCTTCACATAGCTGGAGGAGGAGCGGCTCGCGGTGGCACACGCGCCTGGCAGAATACAAACAGGACCCCCCCCCCACACACACACACACACACACACACACATAATAAAAAAAGAAAGCAGAGCGACACCGCTGTTCTCTGAGGGTGTTTACGACGCATTTCGCCCCAACGTTTCAATACAATGACTTGTGCAATATGTCACTTATCACTGGGCACTTTTGAGTGGGTATACGGAAATTCCCAAGCTTTTCTATGAGTATACGGCGTATACCAGAGTATCACGTAGACTACACCACTGCCTCCGATGTGTGTCCCATTGGTGTATGAATGTGATAAAGCTCCGACTATTCTTTGTGTAGATCTAATAGAGTGCTGTATGAATGGGTAAAGAGCTTTCCACATCTTGATAAGATGGAAAGGTGCTATACAAATACAGTCCGTTTACCATTTACACATTAGGGAACGTCCTACAAGTCATTTAAAGGGAGTGGGCACTCACAACAACCGCAATGAACAGGATTTTGTTGCATTTTTTGTGATTGTTGGGGCCTAAACCATCAAGTGTGCAACAGCTTTTTAAGAAATTTGTGCTTGTTTTATTTTTTACGTTAACATTTTTTTATGCCTTTTTTTTTTTTTTTTACATTATCAATGAAATAAAACACCATTTCAATGGCATAATCCAAAAGTAATAAAGTTAAATTGCTGAATATGATGAATTACAGGCTCCGTTTGAACTAGCAGCTAGCCCGTGTTATTTTAACATTTCTGTTCCAAGTTTGTTATTTATGTCAGCTGTTGACGTAATTGATGTAGATCATGCCAACAGGTTTAAGGTGACACTTCCTCCCTACGGCAAATGCTTTTTTCCACCATTTAAGAGGGAAACTCCTCCCTTACCCTCACTTCTAGCTGTCTGAGAGCCCGGCTGATTGGAAAGGAGCACGCCCAAATATTTTCTCGCATAGTAGAAAAGTGCTGCGGAGACACAGGGTGTCTGGGCTCTCCCTTAGAGACAGGGTGAGAAGCTCGATCATCCGGGAGAGACTCAGAGTAGAGCCGCTGCTTCTCCACGTCGAGAGGAGCCAGTTGAGGTGGCTTGGGCATCTGTTTAGGATGTCTTCTGGACGCCTCCCTGGTGAGGTGTTCCGGACACGTCCCACCAGAAGGAGGCCCAGAGGAAGACCCAGGACACGCTGGAGGGACTATGTTTCTCGGCTGGCCTGGGAACGCCTCGGGATTCCCCTGGAAGAGCTGGCCCAAGTGGCTGGGGAGAGGGAAGTCTGGGCCTCCCTACTTAGGCTGCTACCCCCGTGACCCGACCCCGGATAAGCGGAAGAAAATGGATGGATGGATGGATGGATAGAAAAGTGCTTGTCAAGTGAAATTTGTATTTATATTCAAACATGTTTGCAAAGCCACATCATTGTAATGCTTTGACTTGTACAGATTACAGCTGTAAGATTTGGTGTTGGACGCGTTTTCATCCTGCAGGCTTGGATTGCATTAAGTGATTTTAGGCAGGGGGTGAAGAGGATTTACAAAAAAGTAGCAGTGATTGTGCAGGGATTTGTTGAATATGCATTAGTTGATGCAAAAAAAAAAAGTCAATATAGTTTTTGCTGAGATCTTTCCCGCTGTCAAAATCTTATCTCTTCAAAATCGCTCGTTACTTTCATTAGTTAAAAAAAATGTTTTATTCTATGAAATTATGTCCCTCTTTAAAAACTGTCCATCTTTTTCCAGACTTTTGTGAATCCCGACAACACAAACTTAATTTTTAAATATCTTCGGCCACTTAAATTTCATATTCATCAGATCTACCAACTTAGATTGTGACAGATTCCAACTTTGTTGTAGAATCCGTTAATATGAAAAAAAAAAGACATGAATTTGTTGGGAAAAAAGAGGGAACGTAACTTTATGTCCAAACTTAAAGCTGCTACACTTTACAAGACATAAACTGACAAATGTTGAACTTTCGGTCAGTTAATCCCTTTTATCAAACACAACAGAGGCTACAACTATTATCAATAAAGACACTTGCTCTGTACTTCTTCCACAGCCACTAGTGTTAGTCGCCACAATAAAGAGATTACGAATATGAGCAGTCCTACTTCTCATGTTGGACAAGTCTAACAGGAGCAGAACGGTACCAAACCCAGTTCATCATAAGATTCAGAAGCATTTCTTGTTTTCATCTTTCCTGCACTGCTTCAAAGACCGTTGATGCTTAGCGAGCCGCTGACTTTGATGATGTGCAGAACACCAAGACCTTCAAGCATTCAAGATAAAATTATTTAGAGAAACTTTCCCCACAAGCAGATGAACACTAATTAGCAGTTAACGAGGACAGATACCAGCGCCACCAGCCAGAAAAAATGACTGTTTACACGGTACAAGTCAATGCCCTACTGTTCCTGCTTTACTTCTCTTCTTGAATCCTCTCCTCTAGAGTTCATTTAGACTTTATCTTGAATAAAAAGCTAATGTTTCAACCAGATGTCTTTATTTAAAGTTAACAACCCATTAGGTGTGCATTTAATTACAGAAAATATCTTTACCAGTCATAATAAATTAAGCATTTCATTTTATTACTATAATGTTACGTTTAGCTGTGGTTCTTATGGACGAGCTTCTTTTTTTCTACTGAAAAACTACTTTTATAAATTTTATTCTTGTCTGAAATTTATAATAATTGAAGGTATTTAGTAAAATGTCCATACATTCTTGTAAAAAAGTGCAAAAATGAAGTTCAAAAACTGGAAATATATCAAAGTTAAAAGCACTACAGAATGATTTTACTGAGGAATGTTGTCTTTCTTCCAAAGCAGCAAAGTTTATTCTGATTGAAAACACTAAGTCTTTGCATTCCATCATTCTCCAACCTCATTACACACATCCGGCTCCGTTAACTTGCTGAGTCTTCCTTCCACCCTCACACCGTTCTGTCAGTCTGTTTTCTGGCAACCCTCCACTTTGTTTTTCCTGTCTACATTCATCCTTTGCAGCTCAGATCTGCCGCTTCCTTTCCTTCTGTCCGTCTTTGCTTCATACCTCAGACAGCCTGCTGTATTGGTGAGCGCCACCTCCCACTCAAGATGTCTGGGCTTGCAGGTTTCCTCGCCGCCTCCCGCCCTGTTGCTCCCTTGCTCCCAGCCCGAATGGGGCACCATGACCTCGTCAGAAAGGGCGTGCAGCGCATGGTCCACAATCTCCATTTTCACAGAATCGTGGGACGACAGGTTCCACATCGTACCTGGGAGAATCACAGGATTTGAACATTTGAAATGGGCAAAGGCTAGGTCCACCCACACCACGTATCGCTTTTAAAAATAGACCCATAAAAATTAAAAATAACAGGAATGAATCACTTGGTAGCTTTACCTCTTATCATATGAGGTGGATAAGTTGTCTCATAGCTTTAATGCAGTGAGACAAGTTTCTTTTACAAGAACATTTTCAGTGTTTCTGTATTTTAATGGGAAAGTTGAGGTTATTGTGCATATTGACTTGCTGCAAGAAACAGTTTTTTTTTGTTACTGAAATCTTTACCTTTATGGAATGTTTACTTTAGTGAAAATAAGAGACAATTTTTAAGTGCAGTAATGAAATCCTTTCAGGAAAGAAAAAAAAAAAAAACTCTTTACTACTCGAGTATACATCATATTTTTACACCATGTCTTTGTTACGAAGTAGAGCCCTTTTAATTTCAAACTGGTCCAAAAATTGGAAAGGCCAAACAATTCTGCAGACCAGTTAGAAAATGATCAAACAAACCAGTTTTTCCCATTCTTGTACCCACATTCACGTCTAGCTTGGGAAAATAAGACTTCAGTTTTCACGGGTCAGTGGTCGAGCTGTTGTCAGGTTTAGATCAGAGTCTTTAAATTTCACTTGTGCTATCACAACCCCGATCTATTCGGAGGCAGGTAAACTATTTGCATTTGTTCATCGGAAGTCAGAATCAGAGGCAACAGGTCTGGGAGAGGGACCAAGAACTTCCTATCCCTGGCTCCTAAGGTGTTCTCAGGTCAGAAAGAATAGGTTGTCCCTCCAGTCAGTCCCGACTCTGCACTTGGGTCTTCTTTAGGTTAGACGTGCTCACAAAATAAAATAAACTCCTGTTTGGCGGCCAAACAGCCTCAGCTCACCTTTTTATGCATAGGAGCAGCAATTCTTTACCCTCTAGGTCCCGATACTTTTGAAAAATAAACTTATTTTAGCTGCTTTTATCCTTAATCTTATTTATTTAGTCGTGAGCTAAATCGCATGATCTTGTGAGGGTTGGTCAGCTATTGGTTCATATTAAAATGAACTAACACACACAAAAGACAAGAAATAAAGTTTGGAAATTGTAAAAAGAACATCTGCACTTGGTGGCAGTAGAGTCTCCGTTGAACGTTTTCTCACATCTGGAAATCCTATAAAGGATGGTCTGATGAAGTGGGACAGAAAGAAGAAACTGGCCTGTTGTTTTTACCATTTCAATAGTGTATCAGGAATGGTGCATCCCGTTTAAAAATATGTTTGCATTGATATGAATACCAAAAATATTTGGCTTATCAGAATGGGACTGAAGAGAAAATTACTGGTCAATAGAAAAGTGTACAAAACAAACTTATTGTATGAATTTTGATTCAGAATTCAATTCATGTTTTCCCCATTTTAATTTTTTTGTGTGTGCACTTGTTGCAATTCAGCATCTTCCGTATACTTTGTTATTACGGAAATATTTTCCACACAGAAGTACACCGACATCGTTCATTTCTTCAAAAATAAGATTCTCTTTTTTGACATCTGCTTCAGCATACTTGCTCTATTCGTCTTCTACTTTTGGTTTAAACTACCGTTCTGCTAGGTTTAGCTTTTAGCTAGCCTTTAGCCAACTTTAAGCTTCTAACTTCTCTTTGCTGCTTTAAGCTAGTGTTTTGCTACTTGTAGCATTGAGCTAACTTCTGTTTCTTTTAGCTTTAACTCAGTTTCAGCTTCGCCAGTCATTCAAAACTTAGCATTCATGCAGTTTTTTTTTTTCTAGAAAATAAAATTCTTCTGATTACCAGTGACAATGTTAAAGTTTCTGAAGAATGCATGAGTCCACATATTGTTTGACGGTGTAAATTTTCAGGACTAATAGACAGCAAGAATAAAACCGCATGCCTGAATAGATCAGCCTCCAGTTTATCCGTGGAATACAACATCTCGTTATCACAGTTTGAGTATTTGCGTGTTCGTCCAACCTGTAATGATGTCCGTCAGGTCCTGGTCGTGGATCTTCCTCAGCAGCCTGATCAGGGCAGGAACTCCATCACAGTTCTTAATGGCGATTTTATTATCCGCCTCTTTGCCAAAAGAAATGTTCTTCAGCGCTCCACAAGCTGCATAGTGGACCTACAGGGGACGCCACGACAGCTTTATGAGTCATCAGTGTCACATAAAGTAAGCACAACTCGACGGTTTTAGTAGAGAAATTCATTTAACCGTTAATGTAATTGTGAATTGAGATGACGTCTGTTGTGACTTGGCGCTATATAAATAACCTGAATGGAATTGAATTAGCGAGTTGTTATTTTTTTAAAGACTTTGATAATAAAATAAATGTTTATTTCAAAAAGTTTATGCACGTTATACAATCTTTACGTTTTAGATAACCACATAATACACAGTTTGGTTTAGTTCAGTGTAATTAACACAAATTTAATGAAGTCTTTAAAACTCATTTCATGCAGATATGTTGCAGTAAATATTAAGGAATCGGAAATCGGACGATACTTTCACAGATTTTTTTTTTAAATTTTAACAACAATTGTCTGAACTTCATTTATATTTCAGAGCACTGCCTCGCGGTCAGTTAAAACAAGTTTGTATTGTTTCTAGGATATCGTTCAAGGGTGTGTTTTTCAATAAAATATTGGAAAACTGAAGGTACCTTAAGACCTTATAACACCTGACAGTGTCGCATAGAAAACAAAATCGGTAAATTCTTTTTAGAAATCTGTGATCGGCCAGAAAACTGCAGTCAGTGCACCCCTAGAACACTTTTCACAAGATTTAAAACAAGTTTCAGAGCAAGAAATGTCAAAATATATATTTTTTTGTTTTGAATGCATGGTGTGCTACAGTTTCATCAACTTACAGCTCAACTTCTATTATGTTTCACCTCTTACAAGGCTTCTGGTTTTATTTTTAGTTTTTATCATCTTTTGTTATTTTGTCAAATGAGATATGAAGTATCTTGGGCGAAATTCTTTTTAATTGTTAACGAACCTGGCATGCATGCGGTTTTTTTCCCGCCAATTAGTAAAAATTCACCACAGTTAAATCCGAACGAAAACGAACCAGAAAAAAAAAGAGAAAATGTTTCAGTCAAACGTTGACCTCTTTCATTCTGTAGAGATAAGAGCCCTTAAAATTATTCCAACATTAATGGCCAGGCGTGTTTATTCTTAAAACAAACACAAAAAAACTGAATATTCAAATGATTCCAGTAATAAAAATGACAACTTGAACAGACTGTATATCAGAAGCAATTTTTAAAAAACTGTAAACTGACCTCTCTGTTTGGGTTGTCAAGCATCGACACCAGCGCAGGAATGCCTTTCAGACGCCGCACGTCCGACTTCACCTGAAAATTAACAGAACCGGTCAGGTTTATAAAGCCCATCAGCCCGAGAACTCCAATGAGCATCATTTTGTAAAAATATATATTTGTAATATTTCATTATGAAAATCCTAAAAGCATGGGCAAAAAAAATAAACTGATTTAAATGTATTTAGTCCATCACATGTGCTGCAACATCTCTACATAAACATATACAGTAAATAAAATATCCAAAACAAAATTGCCGTTGTGTCGTAGTGCCACACTCTGTGTAAAGTTACATCAGTTGGATGAAACATTTAGGGGTCGTTCACAGTTCAACATTTTCACACGCATACAGAACGTACTCTTTGTAGAGACCCTTCTCCCACAAAAGTGTACCGGTGCATGAAAACGATGACGTGCACGAAGCTACGCTATGCTAACATTACTACGGGTCACTTGTGTGATGTCATCCTTGATTAATGGTAAACACCGTCGCCCTTGAACAGGAAGTGCTTTCCCCCTTATACATACCGGGAATCTTCTGACTCATGGTGTCAGTTTAACAGAGACTTTAACCAAACCTGAACCGGACATTAGCAAGAACAACACATTTCCACTCAAACATCGTAAACAGTCAAACATTCCAACAAAGTTAAGTCAGGACCTCTGGACGGTTTATTTTTTTGTTGAAACGTTTCTCCTTCATCCAAAGGACTTCATCAGTCCGAGGAGTCACAACAAAGTCAGCCCCACAAGCAGCACACTCACATAGTGGGCCAACCAGTTTGATGGTGATAAGGTGGTTTCTGGGACCCACCCTCTCCCCCGTTGACTCCTCTGAGGCAGCCATGGCCAAAGTGGTTCAAAACGTCAAAAGTTCATGCTCAATAATCCAGGTAAAAATGTAGGCTCCATATGGAAATGGTAATTTTTTTGCTTACTTGGTCCAGCTCCCCAACTCATTTTACACTTTGAGTTTAGATATAAACTGGAGGCTATTACGAGTCAACTCGTTTGTTGTTAGCGTGGTTGAATGCACATGCATGGTGACCTATGTGTCAGAAAAGGTCGGTCTCAGATTGGCCAACCTGTATGTCAATCAAGTGACAATTTGCTATCAGCTTAGCATGCATGTTTTTAGTCTGTGCCGTTTTCTTTATCCCAATAATAAGTAAATGTGCAAATCTCTGCAATACATCAGGACGATCAGCTATAAACTGCACAACAAAGACACATATATACTTGCAAACACGTCACACTTACAGTATTACACCATAAACTGCAAAAGGGTGAACATACAAATAAAAAGT